TAGTTAATACCACTGTTAATCAAATTTACGCACCAACCACTAAAGCCAGTGAAGATGAAATAGAATGCTACCAAATTCTTCAATCTGAAATTGATCAAACATGCAACCAAGATGTATTGATCATTACTGGTGATTGGAATGCAAAGGTTGGGAGCAAAGAGGAAGGATCAGTATTTGGAAAATATGGCCTTGGTGATAAAAATGATGCTGGAGATCGCATGATAGAATACTGCAAAATCCATGATTTGTTCACTTTAAATACCTTTTTTAGACAGCATAAGAGATGATTATAACATGGACCTCACCACATGGAATACACAGAAATCAAATTGACTACATCTGTGGCAAGAGACAATGGAAAAGCTCCCTATCATCAATGAAAACAAAACCAGGGGCAGATTGTGGAACAGACCATCAATTGCTCATATGCAAATTCAAACCGAAGCTAATGTAAACAAGTCTACAAGAGCCAAAATATGACCTTGAGTATATCCCACCTGAATTTAGAGATCATCTGAAGATGAGATTTGATACATTAAACACTAAAGACCTAAGACCAGAAGAGTTGTGGGATGACATCAAGAACATCATACAGGTGGAAAACAAAAAGTCATTAAGAAGACAAGAAAGAAGAAAAAGGTCAAAATGTATGTCAGAATAGACACTGAAACATGCTCTCCAGAGCATGTTTAGATGCTAAAGCAAATGGAAGAAATGAGGAGGTACAAGAGCTGAACAGAAAATTTCAAAGATCAGTTCAAGAAGATAAAAGCCAAATATTACAACAAAATGTGCAAAGATCTGGAATCAGAAAACCAAAAGGGAAGAACACGCTCAGCATTTCTCAAGCTGGGGGAACTGAAGAAAAAATTCAAGTCTTGACTTTCATTATTGAAGGATTCTCTGGGAAAATTAATGAATGATGCAGAAAGCATCAATAGAAAAGGAAATGGTTAATGTCAACTGTTTCAAGAGGTAGCATATGATCAAGAGTCAATGATACTGAAGGAGGAAGTCCAAGGTGCATCGAAGGAATTGGCAAAGAACGAGGCACCAGGAATTGATGGAAAAAAACTGAAATCTTTCAAGAAAGTGAGGCGGCACAGGAGGCACTCACTTATCTCTGCCAAAAAATATGGAAGACAACTCTCTGACCCATATTTGTCCCTATTCCAAAGAGAGGTGACCCAAGGGAATGCAGAAATCATTGGACAATATCTCTGATATGCCACACGAGTAAAGTTTTTACTAAAAGAAATATAAGCATATATTGACAGAGAACATCCACAGATTCAAGGCAGATTCAGAAGAGGCCGTGGAACAAGGGATATCACTGCTGATGTCCGATGGATCTTGGCTGAAAGCAGAGAATATCAGAAAGATGTTTACCTGTGCTTTACTGACTATGAAAACATTTTTGATTGTGTGGATCATGACAAGCTATGGACAACATTGTGAAGTATTGCTTGATTGTGCTTGATTGTACTCATGAGGAATCTGTACCTGGACCAAGAGGCAGTTGGTTCGAACAGAAGATGGGAACATTGAATGGTTTAAAATTAAGAAAGGTGTGCGACAGGGCTGTATTCTTTTACCATACTTATTTAACCTGTATGCTGAGCAAATAATCCGAGAAGCTGGGTTCTATGAAGAAAAACGTGGCTTCAGGATTGAAGGAAGACTCATTAACAACCTGTGATATGCAGATGATACAATCTTGCTTGCTGAAAGTGAAAAGGACTTAAAATATTTACTGATGAAGATCAAAGAGCACACACAGCCTTTGGTATGGATTGCATCTCAATGTCAAGAAAACAAAAATCTTCACCACTGGACCAATAAACAACATTCCTATCAACGGAGAAAAGATTGAAGTTGTCAAAGACTTCATTCTTCTTGGATCAACTATCAACACTCATGGAAGCAGCAGTCAAGAAATCAAACGACATAGTGCATTAGGCAAATCTGCTGCACAAGATCTTTTTAAAGCGTTGACGCGCAAAGATGTCAGCTTGACGTCTAAGGTGCACCTGATCCAAGCCATGGTGTTTTCAATAACCTCATATGCATGTGAAAGCTGGACAGTGAATAAGGAAGACCATAGAAGAATTGATGCTTTTGAGTTATGGTGTTGGAGGAGAATATTGAAAGTGCCATGGGCTGCCAAAAGAACCAACAGATCTGTGTTGGGAGAAGTGTAGCCAGAGTGCTCCTTAGAGGCCAGGATGGCCAAATTTCATCTCTCATACTTCAGATATATTGTCAGTGGGGAGCAGTCGCTGGAGAAGGATATTATGTTTGGTAGGGTGGAGGGTCAGAGAAAAAGAGGAAGACCCCAGTGACGTGGACTGGCAAAGTGGCAGCATCGATGGACTCAAGCATGGTAACAATACTGAGTTTGACCCAGGATCAGGCAGTGTTTCGTTCTGCTGTGCATAAGGTCACTATGAGTTGGTACTGACTCAATGGCACCTAACAACAACAACAACAAAGCATATTATGCTTTGTTTTTAACAGTAGCCTGTAACTAAAGCTTTAAACCAAATAAGGAGGTTTTTTTCCCCCCTAATACGTTGGATTAAATACAAGTATGTGAGGGTAACAATGTGAGATAATTAATGTTTTCCTGTGACTGGGAAAGGAGTGTTAAAATGGGATTAGAATGAAGCATAATTTCCCTTGGAATTAGGATGTGATGGAGTTTTACAGTTACAGTGAGATAGCAATAATAAAACAAATGCTTGTCACTGGCAGAGGACTTTGATATGATACACTGAAAGACATTTTATAATCAGAGACATCAAGACCCCTCATTATAAATGGCAAATTCATTACGGTGGTGAGGTTTTCGAACTCAAGTAGACATTTTTCAGAATTATGAAGCACCGTTTACAGGATATGTTTTTAAACAGCTGACGAAAGCCAAATTTCTCTAATAACGTCTGTGACCACAGGGAAGAACATGGAGACAAAGAATGAGTAAGAGATATTTTTAAATTCATAATTTGGAGAACAGTTTTATAAATCCCACAGAGTCCTCTGAACTTCAACAATAATAATAATAATAAATTTTTCTCACTGGTTTTGTTCTTACTTGTTCCTCATCTACATTTCCCTCTAGACTCTGAGGTCCTTTAATGCAGAGAACACTGTTGCCGTGTTCCCTGTTGCATCCTCAGCCCCCGGCACAACGTCTTGCGTTAAGCAAGCATTCAGTGTGAGTTTGGAAATGTGAATCGAAGAACCAAGTGAGTTCCCGAGAGCCAAGACAGTTTTTTAACCCCAAAGAGAACGGCTTTACACCTAAGTGTCATCAATTCTATTTTCCCTTTTTGTTAAGTTTTATTTTCTCCTTATCACAGAACTCCTATTTTACATGCATCTGCTTTTAGGATAAAAATAATAGGAAGGGTTTGCTGTATATCAGACAGAACATTTGCTGGTGCAGAACGCTTCTTCCATGGGAAAGCACCTCTGTGTCTTTGGACTCCTATATGCTTTGACGGTTACTTCATTCTGTAACTAGTTGTTTGGGCTTTTAAGAACGTACTATTAATGTGCAAGGATTTCTGATAGTGTACTGGATTAGGAGCTGGATTGTTAACCACAAGGTCAGTAGTTTGAATCTTATTAGTTGCTCTGCAGGAGAAAGATGAGGCTTTCTGCTCCCATAAAGACTTGTAGCCTTGGAAACCTATAGTGGGTTGCTGTGAGTTGGAACTGACTCCACGGCACGCTACTATCACCACTTACCATGCATTTTTGACAAAAATAAATAAAAATAAAAATAAAAAAAAGGTGATTGCAAAAGCACCTTTAAAAAATCTCTATCTGAATTATTTGATTAAAAAAAACTTTGATTAAATTTTTGATTGCATAATCTATGCTAAAAGGTGAATTCTGGTACTGTGTTGCTGGCTAAAGAGATGGATGCAAAGTCAGTTTGAAATACAAGGGCGGCAGTTCAAGCTCATCAGTCGCTCCTCAGAAACCCTATACAGGATCCTTATGAGCCAGAACCAACTTGACAGCATTTAACAACAACAACATGCTAAAAGGCACTTCATCACACAAAAATATTATCTCCACTTTATAGGAAATAAAATCTAAAATTGGGGAAAGGTAAATGGGAACTCTCAAATCTGCTTAGGCATGCTGGTCTGAATATGGGCAGCCTGGTGGGGTCTGTAAGATAAGCAAGCATTAGACAGCAAGGTTGGTTTGAACTGCAAGGTTGGCAGTTCAAACTCTAGCCGCTCCTTGGAAACCCTCTATAGGGCTTCTATGAGTCGGAAATGACTCGACAGCACTTACCAACAACAGCAATTTAAAGTCTTAAATTGGTTCACAATTGGTAAATTAAGAAAAAAACCAAGACATAGTGTCTGGTAGTTTTTTATCTTCAAAACTGAACTGTTAGGTGTTGAAAAAGCGTGCTTAATGAAGGTTAAAATCGTGGCCAACTGTGGTCATTTACATTGGTGACATACACATTTCATCTGTTGGGATGCAGTACTCCACTGCAGATGGCAGGAAAGACATTAAGTTGTAAGCCCTAAAAACTGGCCTTTCCCGGACCATGCTTCCCGGGGCCTGATTTTTGTTCAAGGAGCCCTGGTAGTGCAGTGGTCAAAGCACTCAGTTACTACGGAAAGGTCAGCAGTTCAAACTCACCAGCTGCCCCCTAGGAGAATGATGTGGCATTTGGCTTCTATGAAGATTGACAGCCTTGGAAAGCCTATGGGCAGCCATACTCTGTACTACAAGGTTGCTCTAAGCCCAAATCAGCTCAAAAAATTAGTTCTGTTTCATCTCATTTTCAGTAGCCAAACAGAGCCAGTAAGTGGTCTCATGTGACAATTGTAGTAGTTGGTGCAACTGAAACACACCTAATGATGCCACCAAGCCTACGGTCCACACCCACAGTGGAACACAGGCAGAGAATGGAGTCCTGCATCCCTCCAGAGAACACAGCTGGGGGCATGCCAAGGAGGAGGTACCTGGTTAACAGAAGCATCTACATTAGCCACAGGTGAAGGGGAGCGACAGGCAGGTGGAGAGGACATCTCACTGTTGGTTCCCTCCTCCCCAGACTCCTCAGTGACAGGTGACAGCAAAGTGTGACAGCGGCCTGCAGTCATCTGCCACATACAAGTTAAACCCAAGGGACAGGAAAATCCGTTAGCTATGTCAACAAAAGACCAGGACAGGTTGAAACAGCACTCATTACAGAACCAAGTTTAGAATTCCTGGGACCCCAATTCTGCATGTTAATTCTACATTAGGATTGACATTTTCTGTTCTCCAATGACCATTTGTGCCACAAACAGGGCTGAGGGAGGACATTATATTACAGATTTGCTGTTGATTACATATTTCTTTAATGCATTTTTTCTTTTGTTTGTGTCTATAAATAACTCAAAGGGTCTATGAAAGCAAACTTGGTCTTTTGTGGGCATCTCAATTTCCATATTGTTGGGAAGTAAGTGCACCCAAAATCACATTTTGCCAGGTATGGCTATATACAAGGGGAGCTTCAAAAAATGTGCGGAAAACAAACCCATTCTCTCTTTTCATTCCAGCTTCCCACTAACTTTCCGAAGCTCCCTTGTATTACCTGAAGCACAGCACATATGTGTAAAATAAATGATGCTAGCAAACACTGTAATTACTCAAATAATCATTGCAGTTTCTATGCAAAGTGCATGGGAAGTAATGGCAGAGAACAAAAATTAGTGACACTTGTCTGCTTTAATCAAAAGCAAAGCATTACTTTTCTAGTAAAAGCTTTTCTTCTAAATTTTATTGAACATTTAGATGACAAAACACATGCACGTATCTAGTTCCCTAGTGTTTCTATTTGGAAAACAAAAATAAAGATATGACCAAAATTTTTCCATCCCCCAGACAACACGAAAGTCTGTTCAATGGGATTTTTCTATAAAGCTTAGAGTCTTACTGCTAAAATTATATATAAACACAGGGCAGCCCTTTGACAGGTTAAGTAATTCAGCAACCTCAAGTATATAGCTTCATTTCAATGACCACTGTTTAGTGTCAAACATTGGCCTTCGCCCAAATGTAGTCAGAGAGAGTTCAGATGAAACTGCACCTCAACTGGAATCTGCCCCATCCAAGGCAGATCTCTAAAATAAGCCAAGGAGAGCAGCCCGAGACACAGAAACCAGGAGTAGGCAGAAAGAGCAAGCAAGTGGCAGTCCTGACTAATCCTTACCATGACCACAGAGGGGTGGGCCGAGGGTGTGGGGAGGAGCTCCCCGTCCAGGTCCTCTGTCCCTTCAGTCAGCCCTTCCACCTCCGTCACCGTCAGCAGCATAGTGGCATGCTTAGCTTTCATTGTCAGCATCTTGCACTTGGAATTCAGAGAGGCGATCTGCTCTTGGTAGCCCTTGATTTTCTGAGCCAGCTCCTGTGGAAACATATTCCCCCCCGCCCGTGTGTCAGAGTAGCATCAGAAGGAAACAGAACTAGTAAAATTCATCTTCCTCTGCTGACAAGCTCCCTGGCCAGCCAATGAAATCGCAGAGCAATGCAAGCAGCAGCCGCGCGAGGCAGGATGTGGACGGGGGAGGCCGGCAAGTCAGACTGCATCTTACAGTGAGTCAAACCACAGTGCCCCTGGCTGAGCTAGGGGACAGGAAAAATGCTGGGAGCTTGCTGCCTGGGGACTAAGACAATGTGGATGAAAGGTTTCTAATAGTCAGTGAGCTTGGACTTCCTTAACATTGAGAACTGGCACCTCTGTTAAAATGCCTACGGAATCTAACATTTGCCAAATGGTTCGTGCCATGGAAATGAGGTCATGTGATGAATTAAATTAGAAAACTGCAATGCTCAGTCCCCATCAGACTGATTACTGTCCTTTCCTACACACAGGCTCCTAGAGTAAACAGACTGTCGTATTCTGTGACCACAGAGAAGAGATTTCTTGTTCTTGGTTGTTGTTGTTTGTGTCTTTGTTTTGTTTTACTAGATGAGGTAAATCGTACATGAAAGTAAAAACCAAATCCATCACCCTTCAGTCAATTTTGACCCATAGAGACGCTATAGGCAGAGTAGAATTAACCTATAGGGTTTCCATGGCTGTAATCTTTAAGGAAGCTGATTGTCACATCTTTCCCAGAGAGGTTTATGGGTTCAAACCATGGACCTCTGGTTAGCAGCTGAGCACTTTAAGTACTGTGCCACCAGGGACCCTGAAATATTAATTCTGACTCATTTTGATCCTGTATAGGTTTTCCAATGCTATTAATCTTTACAGGAGCAGAAAGCCTCATTCTTTTCCCACAGAGTGGCTAGAAGGTTTGAACTGGAGACCTTGTGGTTAGCAATGCAGTACTTATTCTACATTGTCACAAGAGCTCCTTGAAACAGAACATGTTATTAAGTGCCGTCGATTCAGTTCCAAACCATAGCGACCCTGTATAGTGTTTCCAAGGAGCAACTGGTGAGCTTGAACCACCAATCCTTGGGGTCCAGAGCATTAACCTGCAGCGCCACAGAGTCTGGAAAAGCCAATGACACTGTCTAATCTGCCCTATAGGGTTGCTGAGCTGTAATAGATTCCACAGCAGTAAGGCTCTTGATTTTAAGTTCATTAGTTAATGAACAAAAAATGTTTTCAGGACAAAGCTTTTAAAATTTTTACCAAGAGAGTATTTAAAAGAAATTTTGGCAGCACATAGTCTAGAAAATACAACTATGGATACACTTTGTTGTGGTTGTTGTTGTTAGGTGCCATCGAGTCAGTATCACAGTGACCCTATATACAACAGAATGAAACACTGCCCGGTCCTGCACCAACCTCACAATCATTGCTATGCCTGAGCCCATCGCTGCTGCCAAGGTGACAATCCATCTCATTGGGGGCCTTCCTCTTTTTCTCTGGCCCTTCACTTTACCAAGCAAGATATCCTTCTCCAGTGACTGGTCTCTCCTGATTATATATCCGAAGTATGAAGTCTGGTCATCCTGGCCTCCAAGGAGCACTCTGGCTGTACTTCTTCCAATACATATCTGTGTTCTTTTGGCAGCCCATAGCACTTTCAATATTCTCCAACACCATAACTCAAATGCCTCAATTCTTCTACAGTATTCCTTATTCGCTGTCCAACTTTCACATGCATATGAGGTTATTGAAAATACCATGGCTTGGGTCAGGCGCACCTTAGTCCTCAAACTGACATCTTTGCTCTTCAACACTTTAAAGAGGTTTTGTGCAGCAGATTTGCCTAATGCAATTTCTTGACTGCTGCCTTCCAAGAGTGTTGATGGTTGATCCAAGAAAAATGAAGTCTTTGACAACTTTAATCTTTTGGAGTATGCTAATTCTAAAACACTAAAATACACTTTTCTTAATTAAAATATACATGTACCTAAATGACATAAATCCTGGTATGGCACTATGAGTTAATGAGCTGGGCCTCAAGGTCAGTTTGAACTGCAAGGTCGGCAGTTCAAACTCACCAGCCGCTCCTCAGAAACCCTATACAGGGGCACTATTCATTATAACTGGTGTGGCGCTGTGGGTTAATGAGCCAGACTGCAAAGCCGTTTGAACTGCAAGGTTGGTGGTTCAAGCTCACCAGCTACTCCTCGGAAACCCTATACAGGGTCGCTATGGGTCGGAACTGACTTGACAGCACTTAACAACAACAATTCATTATAACCAACTCTACATAACAATGTTTCTCTGCTATTCATAAGGTTTTCAGTGACTAAAGATTTGGAAGTAGTTCATCACTTTTTCTTCCTAGTCTGTCTTTGTCTGGAATCTCATCTGAAACCTGTCCACCATGGGTGACCCTGCTGGTTATTTAAAATACTGGTGGCATAGCCCTCAGAATCACAGCAACTCACAAGCCACCACAGTACGACAGACAGATGAGAACAGAACATGGGAACACTGAATGTTTTAAAATTAAGAGGGTGTGCAACAAGATTGTATTCTTTCACCATACTTATTCAACATGTATGTTGAGCAAATAATATAGAAGCTGGGTTCTATGAAGAAAAACATGGCATAAGGACTGGAGGAAGACTCATTAACAACCTGCCATATGCAGATGATACAATCTTGCTTGCTGAAAGTAAAGAGGACTTAAAACATTTACTGGTAAAGATCAAAGAGCACAGCCTTTGGTATGGATTACATCTCAATGTAAAGAAAACAAAAATCCTCACCACTGGACCAATAAACAGCATTCTTCTCAACGGAGAAAAGAATGAAGTTGTCAAGGACTTCATTCTTCTTGGATCAACTATGAACACTCATGGAAGCAGCAGTCAAGAGGTCAAACAACCAATTGCATTAGGCAAATCTGCTGCACAGGAACTTTTTAAAGTATTGAAGAGCAAAGATATCATCTTGAGGACTAAGGTGCACCTGACCCAAGCCATGGTATTTTCAATAACCTCATATACATGCAAAAGCTGGACAGTGAATAAGGAAGATCGTAGAAGAATTGATGCCTTTGAGTTATGGTGTTGGAAGAGAATACTGAAAGTGCCATGGACTGCCAAAAGAACCAATAGATCTGTTTTGGAAGAAGTTCAGCCAGAGTGCTCCTTAGAGGCCAAGATGGCCAAACTTTGTCTTGGACATACTGTCAGGAGGGAACAGATGCTGGAGAAGGACATCATGTTTGGTAAGATGGAGGGTCAGAGAAAAAGGGGAAGACCCCCAACGAGATGGATTGGCCAAGTGGCAGCATCGATGGACCCAAGTGTGGCAACAGTAGTGAGGTTGGCCCAGGATCGGACATTGTTTCGTTCTGCTGTGTATAAGGTCGCGATGAGTCGGTGGCACCTGACAACAACAACAACAACAGTATTTAAGAACAACCAAAGTCATAAAAATGCACGTTCTAAAACATCTAGCCTAGAAGCACAAAGGGATCATTTTCAATGATTTCTATTGGCTCGGGAGTCTTGGTGTGCTGCCATGGGTTAATGCTGGACTCAAAGTCGATCTGAACTGCAAGGTCGGCAGTTCAAGCTTACCAGCCACTCCTCGGAAACTGTATACACACGGTCTCTATGGGTCAACACCGACTCGACAGCACTTAACAACAACAAATACTTGCCTTGGAGACCCTAGAAGCTATTAGAGAACACAATTTTTTACAAAAGAATAAAACGCAATGCCTTTCAAACAATGCCAGTGTGCACAATTGAGGGAGAAAGATGAGCCTTTCTGCCCCCTCAAAGATTTAACACCTCGGAAACCCTACACAGGGTGGAGATGAATCGGAAACGACTGGAGGGCACTTAACAACAACAACATATGCTTTGCAAAGATATACACACACACGTATACATATACACACACACTACCAGTGAGACAATTCCAACTCACAGCAACCACATAGAGGGTTTCTGAGGAGTGGCTGGTGAGCTGGATTCACTGTTTGTTTAAGACATATAAAGAACCTCACATAGGTCTGTATCTGTACATGAAAATGTGTTCAAAATCACATTGCAAAACTAATAAATATTATCATGGGTGTTCATAATTATTAGGAGAAAATGTGACAAAATGAGCAGATTGCCCAGGAAGACACAGTCTAGTTCTGAGGGAGGCGAAGGAAGCTGTCTATGATCTCAGTGAAGTCCTTTACATTCTCGGAATCTCATTCCTTTTGTCAATGCAACAAGTTAGCCGAAACGGTCCCTGCTGTGGTGGAAAAATCATGGAATTTGTAGGTAGACTCAGGGCTTGAGTCTGGTTTCTATTAAGTACCAGATTTGGGATCTCTGAAAGTCACTACAAAAAAAATCAGTGTTTTAGTTTTCTAATCAGTAAAATGGAGACAGTCAAATTTAAAAACAAACAGATCCCTACCTCATAAGGCTGCTAGGAAATGATGATGCAAATAATGGTAGCATAGTGGTTACAAGTCAGGCTGCTAACCTCAAGGTCAGCAGTTCAAAACTATGAGCCGCTCCATGGGAGAAAGATGAGGCTTTCTGCTCCCATAAAGATTTACAGCCTCAGAAACCCTATGCAGGGTCACTATGAATTGGAACAGACTCCACGGCACATGACCATCCCCACCGCCATGAGGCACAACTATGATCTCCTGAAGAGCTCACTGTAATATTTGTTTGGCAGAAACCATTTGCTGCTCTTATGGCAGAATTGAGATGAAGTAAACCACAGTACAGTAAACTTCCATGCTTTGTGCAAAGACGACCCTCAAAGACTTGGCTATGCAACAGGTAAGTGCACAGTCATTTTTGTTAATGCAATGATTGATGATGGAAAGGATAGGAATTTCAAACTCTTGTAAAGATTATAATCTAGAAAACCTTATACGTAAGTTCTGTTTGGTCACATGGGGTTGCTACGAGTCAGAATTGACTCAATAGTACCTAACAACAACTACCCCGCTCACTTACCAATAATTCATGATGCTATGAATCAGCACCCAAGAAAAAGAGTGATCACCTTATGGATTGGTAAATCAGGAAAGGAAATCAATTACATAGCATCAATGGATCCACTAGGTCTGTCTGAAACCAAGTCCGTAGGAAACATGTCAAACCTGGAGTCCTTGTGTGGCACCATAGATAGAATAAGCACTAGACAACAGGTCTGTTTGAACCACAAGGTCAGCAGTTCAAACCCACCAGCCACTCCTCAGAAACCCTATACAGGATTGCTATGAGTTGGAACCAACATGACGGCACATAACAACAAGATCATAATGATGTTAAAGGAACAGGAAGCCTGGAATTTGGCCAAATAAACAACAGGGATGATTTGGGTGGAAGGCACAGGAAGGATGACGGTCCTTCTGTTTGAAGATGGCAGTCAATGGAGCAAGCCTGTAAGCACTGCTCTATCTTGTGAACTTCGATTACACTGAGCTATATTTAGTATATTCACGGGGACAATTCACAGGGCAGAAGCTAGTCCTGGTTGCAAGAGGTCCCTTGAAAAGTGGTTGCAGCGTCAGAAAGCAGACTCACACGACTGCATGTTGGAAGAACTACTGAAGGAGGACGTTAGGAAGAGAGCAAAGAAGGAGGAATGGAAACAGGAAACACAGGGAGGAAATGGGAGAAGTGATGCTACACTCTCAGGGTCACAATCAATGACATGAAATAAAATGTGTGTGGATTGTTGAATGGAAAACGAATTTGCTCTGTAAACTTTGAGCCACTTTACAAGAAATTGTTGTTGTTGTTGTTATGTGCCGTGGAGTCGGTTCCGACTCATAGCGACCCTGCACAGGGTTTCCGAGGCTGTAAATCTTTACGGGAGCAGAACGCCTCATCTTTCTCCTGCGAAGAAATAGCTATCGCTAAAAAACAGCCCTAAAAACGCAGAGGCAGTCAAAGACTTGAACATGGGACATGGAGGGTGAGAAATGCCTTGCTATCTATCATTCACCAGAAATGAATCACCAATTCTAAACCCACCAATTTGAATCCATCTGTGTGCCTATATCCTTGTCTTACCTCGTGATGAGAAATTTGGACTTGCAGCTCTTGGATGTTACTGGTGGCCACTGGTTTATCCTCGATCTCTTTGTGTGCACCTTCAATCAGCTGTTGGAGGCGCTTCATTTCTTGTTCATATTGTTCATACTGCACCACGGCCTCCTTCAGAAACAAACAAACATAAATGGATGCTGTGCTCACATCTGTCAAACTCTAGTGCTAATTCCCATTTAGCTGGATGTCTAGGGAGTAAACAAAGTGATAGGCAAATTTTCTAGTACTCATCCTCAACATACATATTGGAGGACCTTTTCCCTAAATTTTTTTTTATCAAAATTATCGATGAAATGAAGCCAGGTAAGTGGTTAGAATCCACTGCCTTCTCGTTGCCTATGTGAAAGATAGTAATGTAATGGACAGAAGGTATGTACAAGTATGAAAAGTAAGATTCATTCATTTTCCCATCTCAGAAATACTGAATATATGAGGGGGCTACAATCAGAAAGCTCATGGAAAAATAGAATGAGAAGATAATGACACTTTTCCACAAACTTGTTGAAGCTCCTTCATAGATGTATAAGGCACTGGATTAAGTACCACAGTCAGATTAAAACACAACAACAAAGAATTATGTATGACTTCTATCCTTAGGAATCTACTAGCTAAGAAATTGCAACAGAATTCAAGGATCACATGTCATTGAAATGGACCACTAGAAGTTTAATGAGAGGTGATTTATGCATTTTGGGGGATGGAGATAAAGCAGATATAAATTAGTTTATAGGAGATATGACATAAATAATATAGCTTTTTTGTTGTAAATAAAATTTCCCTTCTCAGGTTAAGAGACACAGAGAGCAAAACCTTGAGATGCACTTCTTAGGCAGGGAATTGCATTTTAGTGCAGAAAACCTGAAATGGGAAAAGCATTCAGCAACACACAATAACATTAAACTCATATTAGGAAGTCCTAGATGGTCCTCAAGTTCCGAAGAAGAGATCAAAACATATGATTGCATATAAAATTAAGCTGTACACATTGTTCTTCGCAAAGGAGATCACAAAAAGATAGCTTTCAGCAAAGGGTATTTTTAATAGAGCTTTTCCCAGGCATTGGTGTGTGATCCACAGGATCGCATTTGAATCTCCTCCTTTATATAAGCACGACAGTCTGTCAAATTGAACACTCTGGATGTGTTTTGATGGGTGAGCCCACACAATGCTAATAAAAGAAGCTCCTGACTCATCCGGTCTTGCTCTGCTGGCAGGGTCCCCCCACCCCCCACCCCCCGCACCACGGCCCCAGCCTTGGCACAGCGGCACCTGCCTGCATGATGTTGCATTGCTGGATGGCGGTGTGCTGCAGCCGGCTGGCTTCTTCCTGCAGGCGCAGAGCTGCGTGGCAGAGCGGCAGGCTGGTAACCACATCCTCAGGGATCCGGAGTGCGCTCTGGCAGGTCTGCACGGCTTGGACCTTTGGTTTCAGTGACTCCATTTCTGACAACAAATGCTGAAAGTACGATATCCAATTTCTAATAATTCAGTATTCCAATATCATTTAAAGTTGTATTGCAATTACAAGCATTCATATAATATGTAAGGAATGCAATTTATTGTCTACAAATGCATGCTCCTGTAAAATTTCATATATTTCCTATTTCATAAGAGACATCAGGAGCATTGGTGGTGGAGGAGTATGGAGTACTGAACCACTCACCAGAAAGTCAGCAGTTGAAATCCACCAGCTACTCCTCAGGAGAAAGATGAGGCTTTCTGCTCCCATAAAGATTTCCATTTGTCAAATGACACCTTTGTTGTAAAACCAGCTGCCCTCGAGTCAATTCTGAATAATGAGTAGACTCCAGCAGGTTTTCAATCAAAAGCAGATTGTCAGCCCTTTATCCTAAGTGCCTCTGAGACTGTCTCCTTCCATAAAGGTGTACAGCCCCAGAGAGCCTATGAAGCATCTCTACTCCGTCCTAAGGGTTGTAACTGCCTGGATAGCAGTGGGTTTGGGATTTTGGAAGATCATAAGTGGATTTAGAAACTGTTTTCCTCCCCTATCTTCTCTCAAAATCAAAGTTCTCACTCATCACCAGAATCAGCTTTGCCTACCTGTCGATGAGATAGTTGTTCCTTGAGGCTGAGCCGGCCGACGTCCGGGGATGTGAGAGTTGTCTGGGCTTGCTCCAGAGCAGCTTGTAAGTTTTTTAGTTCTGCTTCAAATTTTTTCATATCCTGGAGAGTAACGGTGACATGAATGTCAGTATAGCATCAGTTGGAGTCTGAAGTCATACATGAGGAAAAACTTCACAGCCCAAACACCATCACTGGGGCGGTCTATTTCCCTAACAGCAATGCCATTTTGTAACAGTATATCTGTATGTGTGTATGTGTGTGTGGGTTTATATTGCTGTCAGTTGCCATCAAGTCAGCCCCCACATCCTGCAGAAACAGTGCAGTGGGACTGGACCACTGTGATCCATAGCCCATTGGTAGAGTTTTTGAAGTAGTTACCAGACATTTCTTCCCAGTCTGTCTTAATCTGGATTTCTGGAAACCTGTTCAGCATCACAGCAGGCAAACCCCCCACTGACAGGTGGGTAATGGCCAGGAATCAAAGTCAAGTTTCTCGCATGCTGTTGCTGTGTGGTTTAATGCTGTTAAGTCAGTTCTGACTTAGAGTGACCCGGTATAAAGTTTCCAAGGAACAACTGGTGGGTTTGAACCACTGACCTTGAGGTTAGCAGTCCAGTGCTTATCCTACAGTGCCATCAGGATTTCTTTTATGGAAGGTGAGAATCCTACAACTGATCACTACTGTCTGTACACACACAACTATAAATACTTAAGTTTTTTATTCTTTTTACCTTGGCAGCATCTTGGAGATTCTGCAAACGGATTCTGATCATCTGTTGTAACTCCTCCATCTCCCGTCCCAATTCTGCCACTTGCTGAGACATTTTTCCTGTACAGTACACACTAGTGAGGCACTGTAGTTTCTCTGTCATTGCTTCCAGATTGCGGTGGATTTCTTCAGATTCTTCTAGCAGGGTCTAGAGTGAATTGTCAGTATGAATAACATCCAGAGGTCAGAGAGGGTGTGGCGATGCCAATGGCTACCAGACCAGGATGGGTGTTCACTGCACTTACAGCTGCGTAGGCTCTGTGAGCCTATGAGTTTTCTCTCCTTGTACCCCTGCCCCTGCCACACTTCAGGCAGCTCCCTACTGTGGTCCCATTTCACAAGGAAGAAATTGAGGCTCAGCAGTAGTCAACAATTTTTAAAGTGCTGGATCATAAGGCTTCTCTGCTTTATCTCCCACCCCAACGGGTATGTTGATCAGGTGTCTGGGCCTTGCTTTCTTCATATTGAAACTAAGAAGCACTTTTAAACACTTATATTCTCTATCATCTGAATGTGGTGTTAAGTGCTGCCGAGTCAGTTCCAACTCATAGCAAACCTATATGGGATTTCTGAGGAGCAACTGATGGGTTTGAACAGTCAGCTTTGTGGCTTGCAGTCCAGTGCTTAATCTTACAGCACCACATTTTGTCTAGGAAATAAAATCACGGCAAAAGCATTGCAAACAAACAGCCTTTGATCACTTGTCTTTAAGTAACAAAAGCGTAGAAACAATGTGGAGCACCAAGGGGAATAAACTGTGACCCTTGTCACTCAGTAGGAGCCTACTGGGAGCAGTGGTAACAGAAATACACATAATGGTATAATAAGCATTACTGTTATGCTATAGGATAAGCAATGAACTTCCAACCACAAGGTTGATGGTCCAGACCCATCAACTACTCATCGGAAGTCCTACATAGGGTCCCTATGAGTTTGAACAGACTCAAGGGCACTTAACAAACACTGTATAAACTGTGTCCCATAAGACAGTTACCCACTCCAACGCCCAAGTCATAACCTGGAAATCCCTCGACTCCTCCCTCTCTGAGGCATCTCTAGCCAGTCACTAAGTTTCCATGTTCTAGCGCCATCATCTCTCCTGATCCCTGTCTTCTCTCAATCTGGAAGGGAGGTCCTGTCATCTTCTACTGGAATGCTGAAACCACCTTCCACCTAGCTGGTCTCCCAGATACAGTCTTTCCTTCACCTGCCTGTTTTTAAAGCACAGATACTGTCTTTCCTTCATCCATCTGGATTTGTCTCTTGATTGCAGAGTGTCAGAAGCTTCACAGTGACTTTAGGCTCTAGATCCAGGCCAATGCACGTTTCTGATCTTCTTAGCCGTCTAGTCTTACCTATTTTTCCCTCTTTCCAGTTCCCCACCAGCTCCTCTCTCCACATTCAATGGTCAAATGTCCATAACAGAGCGCCTCTTTTACCGCTGAGATTCCACAGCAGGCACTCTGTATGGTTTTCGGGACTCAGCCCAGTGTCATCTCTTCCAAAGAAGCCTCATTAACCTTCCAGCAAAATCCTGCAGGCTGGTTTCCTTCAGCACAGTGGGCCTCCTTCCCTGCCCTTATCACCAAAGAATCAACAACAACAAACAAAACCAGTTGTCACCAAGTAGACACCAACTCCTGGCAATCTCAGGTGTGTTAGAGCAGAACTGTGCTCCACAGGGTTTTCAAGAGCTGATTCGTTGGAAGCAGATCTCCAGGCCTCAGGGTGGACTCCAGCCTTGAACCTTTTGGTTAGCAGCCAGACAGGTTAGCAGCCTGCACCACTGGGGGCTCACAGGTACTGTAATTGTCCTGAGTGTTCATCACTTTTCTCCCCTAGACTGTTAGCTCTCTGGGAACAGAGAGGGAGAATTCTTTGTATTCAAATGCTAAGTTAAATTCCTAATGCTGGAAATATTCTACAAATGTTCTTTGAATAAACAAATGAATGAATGTGTGCTGTTGATAAGTGCCATGGAGTAGGTTCTAACTCATAGAGGCTCCGACTCAAGGAGCAGCTGGTGGGTTAGAACTATTGACCTTGTGGCTAGTATTCATGCTTTTCCTATAGCAGCAGCTACAACTCCATGCAGGAACTATTAAAAACACCTTCATGATTGTTTTGCAGACCATATTATATTCCATCATATACAAGAATTTATGCAGAAAAACAGCTTGATATTTATGTTTTCTTTAATGTTTCACTGTAGTTGATACTGCATCAAATATCTTCTGCATTTTGGGCTACACAGTTTCCTCATTGTGTTCAAAAATATAATCATCAGGTAAGAATAATAACAGTTTTGGTGATCATATACATTTGCAAGATTAATTTGCAAAAACAGCTTTCCTATATTACCAGCAGTGTGTGAGAGCCCTCACTTCATTACATATGAACTTTCAAACAATTGTGTGGCTACTTTAAATGCTTATTCTCTATCTCTGCTTTAATTTGTATTCACAGATTTCTAATGAGTCTGAATTTATTTTTTCATTGTTTGCAAGGCAATTGTTACTTAAGTCTTGTTAATAACTAAGCATGCCCTAAGACAGTAAAAAAAAAAAAAAAAAAAAATGGGGTTGTTTAAGGAAGACTGCCAAGAAGTGTGTGCAAGAACAATTAGGGTAAGAAGATGATGGATGTGAAAAGCCCATTGTTGTTGTTGTTAAGTGCCATCGAGTCGGGTCCGACCCATAGCGACCCTGTACAAGGTTTCCGAGGGTGTAAATTTTTACGGGAGTAGAAAGCCTCATCTTTCTCCCGCGGAGCGGCTGGTAGTTTCGAACCGCTGACCTTAAGGTTCGCAGCCTGATTCGTAACCACTACACTACCAGAGCTCCTTGAAAAGCCCATTAGGAGGTTGTTAAAACCTGCATGGAAGGAGGAATGATGTAGATCTCTGAGAGCTGGAGTGGAGAAGGGGATGGACGTGAATTACACAAGTATACATAAATCAAGGATGTTGTTGTTGTTGTTAAGAGCCATGCAGTTGGTTCCAACCCATAGTGACCCTGGATAGAGTTTCTGAGGAGCAGCTGGTGGGAAAGAACCGAGTTCAGTGCTTATCCTACAGCGCCATACCAGGACTCCAACCAGGATGTAAGAGAAAGGAAACTGACATTAGTTGAAAGACATTGTGTCATGGATTGAATTGTACCCTCCCTGCCAAGTTGAATACATATCAACTTGGCTGGACCATGATTCTTAGTGGCTAGGCAGTTAGGTAGTGATGTGAGGGGGCAGTTCTGTGACAACTCCCCGTGATGTGGTCTGATATGATTAACCAAGAAGAGGACTAAAGATGGGCTGCAGTACTCTTGAAGCACTGTGTAAGTACTGGACTGCTAACCACAAGGTCAGCTGTTCAAACCCACCACCAGAAATGAGGCTTTCTGCTCTCAAAACATTGGTGGTGGTGGTGGTGGTGGTGGTGGTGATGATGTGCCGTGGAGTTGGTTCTGACTCACAGCAACCCATGTACAGGGTTTCTGAGGCTGTAAATCTTTATGGGAGCACAAAGTCTCATCTTTCTCCCATGGAACCGCTGGTAGTTTCAAACTGCTGACCTTGAGGTTCGCAGCCCAATTCGTAACTACTATGCTAGCCTCAAAAACTCTACACAGGGTCGATGTAAATCTGAACCAACTGGAGGACACTTAAGGACAGCAACAATAAATCCCATTACAATCCTAATTCCATATAAGGGAGTTTCCCAGGATGTGGCCTGTAACATCTTTTATCTTAAAAAGATAAACAGAGAGAGACGTTTGCTACTGCAAAGAAGGAAGAGTCAGGAGTGGGATGGGTCCTTTGGACCTGGAGTCCCTGCATTCTGAAGCTCCCAGATCCAGGGGAAAATGGATGCCCAAACACCTGGAGATCTCTAAGGAATGGCAGGCCTACAGATGCTGACAGGAGACAAGGACCTTTCTCTAGAACCAACGGAGAGAGAGAGCCTTCCCCCAAAGCCAGCGATTTGGACCCTTCGCCTCCTCAACTGTGAGAGAACACATTTTTGTTTCTTACAGCCATACATCTATGGTATTCATCTAGCAGCACTAGAGAACCAAGACATGAATTAAACACAATTCTATATTTTATTGCAAGGTAATAAGCAGGCTGTTAGATATCTGCATCTAAATCAAGTGTAAATTACAAAAGGATGAAATAATTTCCTGGATGATATGATTGAGACAAAAGGAACATTTGTGTCCGGTAGTCTCAGAGGAAATGAAATAATGCAGCCAGTGTGGGGTGTGAGGCTCATTGCTTGTTCTCATCTGACCTCCCACCTCCTATGGAAGATCATGTGACTGCAACCTGGCAGAATGCCAGGAAGGAGGCCCTGGCACTCTCACGACGCACTTGTAAGAACCAGGTGCTGTGCTACACATTTGAGCGCATTAAAACATCTGATCCTCACCTTAACATTGCAACAAAATGTTGTTCATGTACATCCCCATCTTAGAGATCAGAAAACAGAGTTGAGTTCAGAGTGGGAATGTATTTTTGCTCCAAAAAACACAGCTTTAAATCGCAACACTTTGGTTGCTGCTGTTGTTGGGGGCCATCAAGTTGGTTTCAATTTCTAGTGACCCCATGACCAATAGAACGGAACACTGATGGTCCTGCACCATCCTGACCATAACTGCTATGTTTGAACCCACTGCCACTGCCAACGTGCCAATCCATCTCACTTCAGGGGTGTACTCTTATTTGCTGACCCTCCACTTTGCCCAGCATGATGTCCTTCTCCAGGGACTGGTCCTTCCTGACAAAATGCCCAAAGTGCAAGAAAGTTAGCTATCCTCACTATTTCTTATTATTATTAGCTGCCACCGAGTTAGTACCAACTCATAGCGACCCTATGCACAACAGAACAAAACACTGCCCGGTCCTGGATGAACCTCACAATTGTTGCTGAGCCCATTCCTGCTGCCACTGTGCCAATCCATCTCATTGGGGGTCTCCTCCAGAAACTGCTTCCTCCTGACAATATGTCCAAAGTATGAGAGACGAAGTCTGGCCATCCTGGCTTCCAAAGAGCATTCTGGTTGTACTTCCTTCAACACAGATTGGTTTGTTCTTTTGGCAGCCCATGGTACTTCTAATATTCTCTTTCAACACCATAACTCAAATACATTAATTCTTCTGTGGTTTTCCTTATTCATTGTGCAACTTTCACATGCACATGAGGTTACTGAAAATACCTTACTACTAAGGATCATTCTAGCTGTACTTCTTCCAAAACAGGTTTGCTTGCTCTTCTGCAGTTCAAGCACGGTACTTCCAATTTTTGTTACCAGCATCATAATTCAAATGCATCCACTCCTCTACGTTCTTCTTCTTTATTCATTGTCCAACTTCCAGAGGCATACTGTGGCAATTAAAAAGACCAGGGCTTGGGCCAAGTGCACCTTAGTTCTCAAACTGATATCTTTGTTCTTTGACAAAGCCCATCATCTTGCTATACGTTACCCCATCTCCTACCATATTGCTGCAAGCAATTGTTTCAAAGTAGCAGCAAAATATAGTCCTGTAAGACTGGGCTGACTATTTTCTGTCTTGGGAAAGGAACATTTAGAGAAGGCGGAATATCTTTATGTCCACGTTGTTGTTAGGGACCATCAAGTCAGTTCTGATTTGCCTGGTCCTCTGCCAGCTTCACAATTGTTACGTTTGAGCCCATTGTGCTAATCCATCTTGTTGGGGGTCTTCTTCTTTTTCAATGACACTCCACTTTATTAAGCATGAAGTCTTTCTTTAGATGCTGGGAGAAGAACTAGATGACTGTAATGTGAAGTTAATGGAACTCGATGTGGCAGTACAGACATTCTCTGAGGAGAACGTCTGATCCCTCCATGACTCACAAACACTCATGAAATCTCTGCCAAATCTTCCGCCAAACCCCTGACAACGTGCAATAGGGTTACATTAGGTAACCTTCTTTCGTCTGATCTGGAACTTGCAATGATTCCCCACCATGACCCTGGAAATCTTATATCAGTCTAGCCAGTTATCAAACTGCTCTCTAAGTTAACACTTAAACCGAATTCCCAAAGGTACCTGATGTGCAATGTATTGCTCCCGAAGTTGGCTTGCTGAGTTCCATGCAATATTTCCATGTACTAAGACTTTAGCTTTCTGAATCCACTGCAAAACGAGTTCAAGCATTTCATTGTATTCTTCTAAATGTGCTGCTGCCTAAAGAAAGTATTAACATTCTGTTAACACATGTACACTCTGCTTCCTGAGCTATGAGTCAGTCTTCTAACTAAAGATCTCTTTTAGTATAATGGTACTAAAGGTTGGTCATTATAATATAATATCTGTGATTTTTAAAGGTAGCATGAAAAAACTTTCCCTGTGGAAAATCTATCAAAGACTTTCCAGCAAATTTAAGATAAAGTCCAAATTCTTCATGTGCCTGAATGATCTTTTCCTTACTGTTCCATTTCAGCTCTTATTCTTATCGCTCTCCTCCCAACCCAAACCCTCAGAGGTTGATCAGTAGGTAAGGAAGTAGCAGGTGACAAATAGAGCATACCAGGGTTCAATATTATAATTCAGTGGTTGCCAAATTCCTATTTAACTTAGCAAAAGCCCATTCTTTACTCAATGATTATGATAGCAGGTCGACTTGGGGCTTCTGATAATGTAGCAAACGCAAGCTATTATTATTTGTTGTTGTTGTTAAGTGTCATCCAGTTGGTTCTGATTCAAAGCGACCTTGTATAGGGTTTCCGAGGAGTGGATGGTAAGTTTGAACCACTGACCTTGTGGTTCAAACTGACCTTATAGTCAAGTGCTTATCCTATAGGACTTTGGTAAGCTAATGTTAAATATATCTTGTTTTAAGAAACTTGAATTCACCCTAAACTGATAATAAAGCATACAAAACATGTTAATGGGTGATTATTTATCTTAAAAAACACTAATCGCACTTCTCCAGGTTATGAAAAATTGACTCCAAAATCCATTTATGTGACCATCTTTGTCAGTGATTTCATAACCTGGTTTGATATAAAATAAATGCAGGTTTCAGTATAAACCTTAAGAACACAGGTCTGGTAAGAAATAAGTTATATCTAAATTACTCTCATTATAGTCAATTTTATCTTTCTATTTTCCACAAAGAACACCAGAATGTTAACGTTTCTTCCTTGGAGGGTTTCAGTGACTGGCCTGGGAAACGTACCTGACTGAGCTTGGTGAGCCGGTTCTCAGCCTGCCTCACGCTCTGCTGGTGGAGTTCAGTCAGCTTTCCCATCTTCTTGACCAGTGGCTTGCCCAGTTGGCCGTTCTCCTCAGAGAATGTCTGTACTGCCGCATCGAGTTCCATTAACTTCACATTACAGTCATCTAGTTCTTCTCCCAGCATCTACATGGGCATCAACATGAAACCACATTGTACTGCACAAAATAAATATCTTCAGGTTTTCTAAGATCAGAAGAATTAAGAGTCTAAAGAAAAATTCTAATCAGATCTGGCCATTTCAGTTTATTGGGTTGGACAGGCAGGGCCGAGCTGACTGTGTTGGAATCTGGTGTTTATTTCCTGTGAGGCTGACTAAGAGGTTAACATTTTCCTTCTGCCCCACCCAAAAAAGGATTAGAGTCCTTTAACTCATCAACAGAGTGAGAACACAGATTATATGCTGAGCACAAAATTCTCTTTGGAACTAACATCCTTGTGTCCCTAAATCAGGATACCAAGAGGCACAGTCGTTAAACACTCAGTGGCTAACAGAAAGATCAACTGTGCCAACCCATCAGCAGTGCCTCCTTGGCAGAAAGATGTAGCAGTCTGCTTCCTTAAAGATTCAGAGTCTAGGGAACCCAGTGGAGGCAGTTCTACTCCTTCCTACAGGAACCGACTTGATGGCACACAACAACATCCTTAAATTAGCATTGAGTCTTTTGACATTATTCCTTCTTAAATACACATTCTTGTAAATTTCTTAATACAGTTCAATTGTAAGGACACATTATACTATGCAAGTAGACATGTAATATAACATTTATAAAATGTCTTTTCTGCCTGCTTTTATCATTTGGTTTTAATGCAACTTGTTAATGAGGAAAGCTCTTTTCCGTATCTTCAAAATGAAACTGACTTCCAAAAAAATTTAATTTACTTAGTTGTTGCTAAGTGCTGTGGAGTTGGTTCGGACTCATAGCAACCCTGTATACACTTTCCATGGAGCAGCTGGTGAGTTTGAACCACCGAACTTTCAGTCCAATGCTTATCTCCTACAGTACCACACCAGTAATCTTTTTATTTCCCCTTTTCCTTTCTTACCTTTTGTTCAGTTTTAGCTTGAACTAGATTATCTGTCTTGGCTTTGAGCTTTGTTAGGATCGTTGTAAGATCTTTGGCTAGCTTCTGAATTTGTCGGCTGAATTCCTGGCTCATGGCCTTGCTCTGCTCAACTTCTTTTACTTTGTCCTGGATCTAAATAATCAAGTAAGACATCATTGGTTAAAACTGGATAATAGATACTGAAAACCACAAATGATGGGGACAAAAGATACTTTAAATGTTAACAATGCTTTGAGGAGCCCTGCTGGTTACATGACTTGAATCCACCAGCCCCTTCTTGTTACAAAGATATGACAGCCATCTTGCATAGACAGCTTTGAAACCTAGGAGATTCTACCTCATCCTGTAGGATTGCTGTGCGTCAGAGCAGGCTTTATGGCAATGGGTACCACCACATCAGCACCGAGGCACTTGGACAAACCTACCACTTACAACAACACACATTGTCTACAAATTCATCTTTACAAAGTCATTGCGTATTTTCTGTTGCTGTTTCAGTGAAGAACACAGTGGATACACAGTGATTCTTTTATTCTTATATTCACTGAAGAGGTACAGACTACTCATCGAAGATGGTAGCACAGATTCTGAATTCTATCTTTTCACTTAACTTGATTTTCAATCTTGCAGCACAATCTTCCAAGTCTTTTTATTTGTAGTATTATTATTATTTGGGGGGGGGGGGAGGACTTGTTTCCAAACCCTATTTATAAGTGGATGTTAATAATCTCTTAACTCTTTTTATAAATGTTCATTGGCATTCCCAATTCACAGAAATGGCATGCCAAGTCCATGTGATGGAAAGTGGGTTAAAAAGAACCATGACCATGTATGAGTTTCTGATGGTATTGGTTTGATTTGATACCAAGCGTTCATAAATATTGTATACAATAAAGTAAAATCTGGTAATGATAAATGTTTTCTTTATGTAAATAAAAGGTCTTTAAAGTACGATTTGTGGATGTCAGTATTTTAATTTGGAGGTTACAGTAAATAGGACACATCTGAATAATTCCAATATAAAGAACTTGATGCAGAGTGAGGGAAAATTACATTTTTTTTTGAGGAAGGATTTATTGTGGAGCAACTCTACAACAGGCTCCGAAGCACCTAGTATGAAACCAAGAAGGGCAAGGAGCTGAACAAGGGCTCTAGAGCTTGATACCTGCATTCAAATTCCAAGATGGCCTTGGGGAAGTCACTTGGGCTCACTTTCTGCTTCCCCATTTGGGAGAAGGGGCTCACACTGATCTCTCAGGTATGGTACTTTCAAGATTTCAGAGGGTGTCTATCAAATGCTGCTAGCACAGAAATATTCAGTAAAGCAGATCTAGGGAAAGGCTCTCTCTCCGTTGACTCGTAGGGAAGGTCCTTGTCTCTTTCAACACTTGTGGGTCTGGCATCCCTTGGAATTCTCCATGCATCTTGGTATCAATCTTCCCCTGGATTTAGGAGCTTCACAGTGCAGGGACTCCAGCTATAAAGGATACACTCCACTCCTAGATCTTCATTTTGGTGGCAGTAGGGCCCTCTGATACAACCTAACCTGAGAGTTGAGGAACTCCACTACCACATTTTTGTGGCTCCATCGTACTGCACCAGTTGCCCAGGCCCCTGGATGGCGTCCATCCCATGCCAGAATCTCCCAACTTCTGGGCTCAAATTTGAATATTTTTTAAAAAATGATTTAGATTTATTCTTCCCAATAAGCTTTCCAATGTACAGGGAAATGAGTCAAATTGGTCAACTACTTATTTATAATAGAAAATAAAATATCCGACTTAGGTCAAAGTTATGCTTACAATTGGATTTTAATGAGATTTTTAAAAGACTGCATGATACAGCATACATGTGAATTTCAGACTGTCCAATACATTATTACCTTCCACTTGTTGAGGCAGTTTGGAATTCATAAATCTGGTTTCAACTTAACTATGCAAATGGCAACTCAAAGCACAACCCTCTACAGTCCTTCCACCCATCTCACTGGCTGAAGCCTGTCAGCCCTCAACTTCAATCTCTCCTGAAGAGAACCCTTCTTTGACTCTTCTCCTCAAATAGTTGTCTCTACTTTGTAGTCCCACATCCTGCTTTTCACACTTTTACTAAATGGCTTGTCTTATCTGTCTCTGATGGGTGGCTCTCAACTCTGGTTTGGCTCTGCAGTGCATTCTGCTACCCAGAGGGCCCTGGAGACTCAATGTGTCCCCAGGTAGATGCTAATGAAAGTATCTCCACAGCACGCAAGAAACCTCTGACCTCAAGACAACAAATAACTATGTATTTCCTCTCAAAAATAAGATTGGTGTTTAAATTTACAGGAATGAATTGCATTTCAGCCCTTCCTCTGGTTGGGAGAAAGCTAGAGCTAGACTGAGGATCCTTCCTCCGGTGAGGTTATGGATCCACCAGCACACATGCTGGATAGTAACTTCTTCCCTTGCTTCCCCTTATTTTTCTTACTTAGATGTTCCCTTTTCTTAAATATCTTCACCTCATTAAATTGTTATTGTTGTTAAGTGCTGTTGAGTTAGTTCTAATTCATAGCAACTCTGTATAGGGTTTCCAAGTTACAGATGATGAGTTTGAACTGCTGACCTTATAGTTCAAAGCGACCTTGGGTCCAGTGTTTTATCTTACAGTGCGCCACACCAGGACTCAAAAAAGGGTGTCTGCCTCTCCATTGGGGAATCAAACCCCGGTCTCCCACGTGACAGATGGGAATACTCACCATTATACTAATGAAGGCATCTCATTAATTTAGATGAACTGAAGTAACACCTGGTATACTCAATAAACATATATTGGATAAAAGAAAAAAACAATTGAATCTTACTCTATTTGCGGCCTTAAATCATTTTAGAAAAAAACAAACAAAACAAGCTATGAGGAAACACAGCTCAAGTATATTTAATTGTATAGCCTATCACTGTTCACACATCCGTGACCGTCTGATATATTTCTATGCTAATAGTAAGACCATCAATTTCATACTATTGCTTCAGACTGGTCTGTTTTTACTCATTTCCAGAAGGCTGTAATTGAAATATGTTGGCCCTATTTAAGGATGGAAAGAAAGGCACTCTCTGGATTGTAGGTTTACCTGATCATGAATTGTTCCCAGGTCTAATGCCACTTCAGCTAACTGAAGGGAGAGTTCAGAAGGCAAGATCGTAGAAAACCCCAGGTACTTATTTTTCTGTTCTTCTGCCATTTTCTCAATGTTCTGCCGGTGATTTGTAACTTCTGTTAAGAGACTCTAAAGAAAAGGTCAAAATAAGAAACTGAGGGAAGTCTGATAAGGAATTTGATTTTTATAAGTACAAAGACAATGCTATATATAGCTCATACATCAACATAAAGTGTGGAATTAGAGAAAAGTCTCAAACTTTTCTTTAATCTTCACATCAGATGCATGTACAGGTTATGTGTAACATAGGAATAGGAATATGTATTTTATGCAAACCAGTTCTAAAAAAATTCCATTAAATATTTTCATGGCTGATAAACCAGTGTTGAATGAAAATCAGGGTATGTTTTGATGTTTTTGGGGTTGGAGCAAACAGAATGGGTACCTGAAGTTCTTCAAGTTGAGTGTCTGTCTCTATTGTTGGATTTCCCAAATAGTCCTTCGTTTCCTGAACCCAGGATTTCACAGCGTTGATCTTCGTCTCCACCACATCTCGTTCCTTCAGCTCCTGTTTTACCACTTTGCTTTTGTTCTTCACTGTCTCCTTCGTGCTTCAGACACAGCAAAGGGGGGAAGCGGAAGGGAGTGTGAAACGAAAGGAACATTCTTACTACATGACATCAAACTACCAAACAGGGATTCACAAATGTCAAACCTATTGTGTTTTTTGCAAGTACATAAAACCTAACCACCTGTTGCTGAAGAGCTGATTCTGACCCATGGCACCCGCATGTGTGTGTCAGGGTAGAACTGTCTCCACAGGGCTTTCAATGGCTGATGGTTCAAAAGATCATCAAGTCTTCTTCTAAGACACCACTGGGTGGACTCAAACACCTTACCTTTTGTTTTAGCATCTAAGTGAGTGCTTAACCATCTTACCACCCAAGGACCTAATAGGGACTCTTCTTATTTGGATTTTTGCAGCATTCTTTGTTCTACTTCCAGTGACTCCACGTAGTTGGGGAGTTTTCAAATTTTATCAAAATTGAGTTTGTGATTGTTTTTAACTGCTGTGAAATCAGTTCCAACTCAAAGCAACCTGTATAGAGTTTCTGAGGCTGTGACTCTTTCTCATCTTTCTCCTACAGAGTAGCTGGTGGGCTCGAACTGCCAACCTTGTTTATCCTACAGAGCCACCACGCTCTCCTGTTCTCAATAGTTCTCCACATTTACCTTTTTAATTTCATTCTGGAGTTCTGGTGTGATGCTGTAGGATACGCAATGGACCACAAAGTTAGTTTCAACTACACGGTTGGCAGTTCAAACTCACCAGCTGCTCCACAGACTCTGCACAGGGTCGCTATGAGTTGGAAAGCACTCGATGGCACTGAGCAACAACAAGAAGCTTCATTCTCGTGAATCGCCTTCCCTCACTCCCCTTATCCAACAGTTCTTGGAAAGTGCTAATTCTCCTGTTGGGAAAACTGTCCACCCATCTCAAAAACCCCAAACCCACCACCAACATGTCAATTCGGACTCACAGCCACCCTACGTAGGGTTTCTCAGTAAGTGTGAGCAGTGTAGACAGTCTCCTCTTTCTCCATGGAGCTGCTGGTGGATTCAACCTGCTGACCTTGCTGTTAGCAACCTAAAGTGTAACCCATGATGCTCCTTCCACCCATCCCACTGTCTAGCGGGGGCCTGTTCACTCTTCAGCCTCAACATCTCTTCTGAAGGGGCCCCTGCATTAGCTGTTCTCCTTGTCAGTTGCCTCTACTTTGTAGTAGAAGAATCCTCCTTTTCACACTACATACAATGTCTTGTCTATCTCTGATGGGTAGCTGTCAACTTTAGTCTGGTTCCACAGTATATTCCTGAGTCCTGGTGAGGAGCTCTGGTAGCATAGTGGTTACGAATTGGGCTGTTAACCTCAAGGTCGGCAGTTCGAAACTACCAGCTGTTTCGCAGGGGAAAGATGAGGCTTTCTGCTCCTGTAAAGATTTTCAGCCTTGGAAACTCTACACAGGGTCGCTATGAGTCAGAACCGACTCCACAGTACTTAACAACAACAACAACAACTCGGTATGTAGTTTCCCAGGCAATGACGGAAGAGCTAAGAAAATGGAAAGCCAGGATGATGGCAGCAGGTCACCACATGTGCACGTTAACAGGATTGGAGCCCTCCCCAAGCCTGTCCCAGTACCACATCTGTCCCTGTGGGTCACGGCCACACTTAGTAACCAAGAGCAGGTGATTACTTTAGGCAGCGGTCTTGCATTGCTCTGAGTCCCTGCATGACAAGCGGCTCTTCCCCCGGGCTCTCAGGACTGGCCCTGTCCTGGAGCATGCTCAGAGCTTGCTGACACAGCACGCCGAGGGCCGCCTGCTGCTGCTCCAACTCCAAAACCAAGGTGTCGTGGTCTTCAAGGAGAAGTGCGAGCTCTGCTTTGGAGGCCTTTTCTGCCAAACTTCCCGGTAACTTATCTTGCAGCTGGTCGATCATTTCAGCGGCTTTTTGAACCTGGTGACAAACGCACATACTATGAAGCTGAGAACTGACTAAACGAGAAAAACAGGGCACTCCCCATGAATGCCACATCGGACAGCAATGCATAAACCCAAAAGACTGAACCCACAGTCCTGCAGTCAGTTCTGACTCATAGCGAGTGACCTGATAGGACGGAGTAGGACTGCCCCATAGGGCATCCAAGGAGACCTGGCGTGGTGCTACAGAATAAGCACTGGACTGCTAACCGTGAGGTCAGCAGTGCAAACCCACCAGGAGCTCTTGGAAACTCTAAAGCGGGTCGTTGAGTCATAATTAACTTGAAGGCACACGACAGTAACAAGGACAAATGTTTCATGATTCTCCCAGAGAGGCTGGTGGATTCAAACTGCTGACCCTTTGGTGCTTAACCACCGTGTCACCAGGGCTGGCAGTAATGCATTGTTGTTAAGTGCTGTCAAGTCGGTTCCAACCATAGCAACCCTGAGTATGGTTTTGAAGAAGCGAGTGGTGAACTTGAACTTCTAACTTTGCAGTTCAAAAGGACTTTGTAGTCCAGCACATTAACCCACAGTGCCACACCAGGACTCCTGTAGTAATGCATAAAGGCACTTTAAAAATGATCGTGTGACCTCTATATTTTCAGAAGCTTGTTGTTGTTAAATGCCGTCAAGTCGGTTCTGACCCATAGTGACCCTGTCTAGGATTTCCGAGGAGCAGCTGGTGAACTTGAACCACCAGCCTCATGGTTCAAATCAACTTTGCAGCCCATTGCATTCACCCACAGCACCACACCAGGACTCCTTTCAGAAGCTAGAACCTTCTGAAAGAGAAATTTCCTAACATGAAAGAAGACTACTTTCATTCAGAGTTTTAAGCTTTAGTCAGAGAATCACCTCAGGGCAATCAGAGGCTACGAATAATATCAGAAAAAAAATTTATAATAAACATAAAGCAGCAAGCAATATCTAGGCTAGAGTGGCTACTATGCCTTTGAGTCATAAAGGAACATCTGACTTGAAACATTGAACCTTTATGAACAGATGGAAGAAATTAAATACAGAAGTTGACAAATTAATTACATTCCTGCTCACTTTCATGGCAAAAAAGTATTTTCTAGTTTCTCAGGGTCAGGTAAATAAAATTTTATCAAGAGCTTACCAATGAGACAAAATGGGTTTTGTTCATCTTTCAAAATCTTCTTGTTTGGTTTTCTTACAGAAATAATTTAATCCTGACTTGGAACACATTGCACATGGCATACTGTATTTTACAGAAATAATTTAATCCTGACTTGGAACACATTGCACATGGCATACTGTATTTTGCTTCATAAGTTGGTGTTCGTGTCAAAAGGCCAATTCCAAAACGGAGCAAAATACTGCCTTATAAAATATGGCATAATCAGGACAAAAGCAATCTTAGCCAATTAAGAAGAGAAATGACCTTATTGCTAAAGCTCTTCCACTCATCTACCGCATCCTCCAAGACCTTCTGCTGGTCCTGAACCACCGCATGGAGCCGCGTCCAACGCTGCCACACTGTAGTTGTTGATCTGCTGATGGTGGCTTTGCTGGAGTCATTTCCGGTTTTTTCCAGCTGGGAAGCTTTTTGCTCCAGGGTCACAATCTTCTCATGGAAAGAGTGAACTACTGTCACTAAACTCTAAGGGTGGGAAACAAAAAAGAGACACAAAGAGTTTTAGTTTTTATAAAAGTACTATGTTTATCTTGTGCTAAAACCCAAAATGATCTCCCAAATTAACTCCCAGAAGAAATGTCCCTACATAAGTTCACGTGACTTTAGCACTTCTTTCTTTTACGTTTATTTTTAAATTGAGGGTGGTTGTTGTTAGGTGATGTGGAGTTGGTTCTGACACATAGCGACCCTGTATAGGGTTTCTGAGGAGCAGCAGATGAGTCTGAACTACTGACTTCATGGTTCACAGTCCAGTGCTGATCCTACAGTGCCTGACCAGTAGTCCAGTTGAGAGTAAGGCAGTGGTTATTGTTGTTAGGTGCCATCAGGTTGGTTCTAACTCATAGCAACTTCATGGCAACAGAACAAAACACTGCCTGGGCCTGTACCGACCTCACAATTGTTCCTGTAATTCCTCCCAGTAGTGAAGGTTCTCTGTCAATCTAGCTCCTGGACGGTCTTTGATTTTTCTTCAAGAGGTAAAGTGAAAATTATTTATTTACGAATAACAAAGTTCAGTTATTACTTACTACTTATTTTCCCAACTTTAAAAAACTCCATAGTATAAATGGAGGCCTGCTGTGGGCACAGTAGGATAAGCACTGGACTGCTAATTGCAAGGTCGGCAGTTCAAATGGAAAGCCTATACTGGGTCACTATGAGTCAGAACCGACTCAATGGCATGGCACACCACCACCATCATAGTACAAATATGAATTCAATACTTCGGTATGCTCCATTTTTTCGGACATTGCTGTGATAAACAAGGGAGGCTCAGTTATTAATAACTGAATTTTATGCGAATGAATCTAAGTTATCAACAGAACCTACTGACTGGAACTTACTGAATGCTGCTGCGTTGTATTGGCAGTAACTTCTCTGTCCCTTTGAATTGGTTAAACCTTAGCTCTGCATTGCCAATGGGAGTCCTCAAAAGGTGTCATTACCTAACCAACTTAAAATACTCAGGTATGTGGTTCATTTCAATGTGTCAGATTTCACAAATGGTAGGAAGGAAGATTTAATGATCTCTGCCTGAAATCATCAGATCTCAAAAACCCACTAAAATACCCTTAAAATATTCCCTTTGTACTCATTAAAGGGCTTTAAAAACCAAAACCAACTAAACAACTAACCTTGTGTTCTGACAGTTTTTCTTCTGCTTCGACACTGGACGAAGTCTTCAGTAAAGAAAACTCTGACAATTTCTTTTCTGCATCGTTCATCAACTCAATCACCTCCTCTCGTGCTTTCTGATAATCCTGCCACTGTGCTGCACACCTTAAAAAAGCCCCAAAGAAACCAAGTTGAATGAGAATCATCTATAAGGAATCATGTATTTCTACCTAGAGCTCTGATGTCAATTATGTGCACTGGCCCAGAAGAGAGACAAGTGAATTTATGCACTAATTCTTATGAGCTGAATTCTATTTTCCTAAAAGTAGTCCTGGGGTCCTGGTATGACTATAGGATAAGCACTGCAATGTTGGTAGTTCAAACCTACCAGCTGCTCCTCAGAAACCCTATTGTTGTTGTTAAGTACTGTCTAAGTCAGCTCCGGCCCACAGCAAACCCTGTATAGGATTTTTGAGGAGCGGTTGGTGAGCTTGAACTGCCGACCTTGCAATTCAAAGCAACTTTGCAGTCCAACACATTAACCCACAGTGCCACACCAGGACTATACAAGGTAGCTATGAGTTGGAACAAACTGGACGTCACTTAACACTGACAACAACAAATGAAGCCCTAGCCCTCAGCACCGGTGATAGAAGCCATCTTTGGAAATAGGGTCTTTGTATATTGAATCAATGCAAGGTAAGGTCATTAATGTGGACCCTCATCTAATATTATAGTGTCCTTGTATGAAGAAGTAGATACAGACACACAAGGAGGATGTCATATGATGACAAAGGCTAAGCTACAAGCCAAAGGATGCCAACACTGCCAGCAACACAGAGATGAAGAGAAAGGTATGGGACACAGTCTACCCGAGAGCCTTCCAAAGGAGCATGGCCCTAAGGACACACCTTAACTTTAGGATTCTAGCTTCCAGAATTGTGAGAAAATAAATCTGCTGTGTAGAGCCATCATTTTGTGGGTTCGTGATGGCAGCCCAAGGAAACAAATGGTTTATTCCCACTTCAGGTGGTGACCATTCATTTCACTAAAATATAAAGCATAAAGCAACCACTACGATTACCTCTGCAAGAGATCTTGTTGGGTTCTGGAGTCCTGGGTTGTGGCCTGGCTCCTCTCCTCTAAAGAGGCCAGCTTCTGGGCTAGGTCCTCTTCTCCAGATGGCTTGAGAAGTGAGTGGAGGTTGGATACCAGGCCTCGAAGTGTTTCCAGGTTGCTGTGGAACTGACCCTCTGTATTGAAAAACTCCACATGCCTCTTCAGATTTTCCTCCGATCTCTCCACATCTAGCCCACTGGCTGCCAGCTGTAACATTTCTTGAGCATCTTGAAGCCAGTCATTAGCTGCTTGAAATACTTGATAATACTGTCGACACTGATTATATATTTCAGTCAAGGTAGCCTAAAAGATAGCAATATGAATAGCAATTTTGCAAACAAAATAAATACTCAGTTATAATGTGTTTGTAGTCAATAGTTTACTTTCCATTTCTCTTCCAGTCCTCAGTAATGTGAATGTATACATATATAAATCTACGAATAAACATTTATAAAGGTTTTTGGTGTGCCCAAATTGTTATCAATTATTTTTTCATTCTGATTTTCTTGGTACTGTGTAGATATCAAGGAAAACTATGGATCACACTGGGAAGAATGGGTATTCCAGAACACTTGATTGTGCTTATGAGGAACCTGTACATAAACCAAGAAGCAGTTGTTCAAATGGGAAAAGGGCATATGAAATGGTGTCAAATCATCTAAGGTGTGTGTCAGGGTTGTGTCCTTTCACCATACCTATTTAACTTCTACGCTGACCAAATAACCTGAGAAACTGGATTATATGAAGAAGAATATGCCATCAAGATTGGAGGAAGACTCCTTAACAACCTGCTATATGCAGATGATACAACCTTACCTACTGAAAGCAAAGAGGACTTCAAATACACACTAATGAAGGTCAAAGACTATAGCCCTCAGTACTGATTGTACCTCAATGTGAAAAAAAAAAAAAAATCCTCACCACTGGAGCAATAAATAAGATCTTCATAAATCGAGTAAAGATTAAAGTTGTCAAAGATTTCATTGTGCTGGGATCCACAATCAACACTCATGGAAGCAGTAGTCAAGAAATCAAACAACATACTGCATGAAATAAATCTGCTGCACAAAAGCTCTTTAAAGTGTTCAAGAGCAAAGATATCAATTTGAGGACTAAAGTACTGCTGACCCAAGCCAAGGTATTTTCAATTGCCTCTGTTATGCCCAGAATTCGGGGTCCCCAAAGACCACCAAGGAGCCGACGCTGATGCAAGTGCACAGGGTCGTTTATTCAAGCTCGAGCCTGGGCCTTCTCTGTATCCGGCACAGTGGACTCAAGAAAAAGGCCCTGAGCTCTTTGTTAGCGGGTTTTTGTTTGTTTTTTTTAAGCGGGGGTTTTTATAAAGATTACAAACAACTTCGGGGGTCATCAGACTAACTTTTTTAGGATTGGCTTACATTTAGGGGGTATAAGGTGTTACAGTTTGATTGGCCCCTATCCATTGCTAGGGCCGTTAGGTTGGGGTGAGTAAGACATACATCATTTAACCTTGGGCTGTCTGGAATGCTTATCTATTCTCTTCTGCTTGCGGGGAGGGTGAGGTATGCTGCTTTCAGGCGGTATAAACTGACCAGGTGCTTCCCTGAAACAGGGAGATGTGCCCAGGTCAAAGTACAAAATGGAGTCTTTTCTTCAGGTCCTACACCTCATATACATGCGTTTAAGTTGGACAGTGAATAAAGAAGACCATAGAAGATTTGATATATTTGAGGTATGGTGTTGGAGAAGAATATTGAAAGTATCATGGACTGCCAGAAGAACAAACAAATTTGTGTTGGAAGAAGTACAGTTAAAATCTCTTTAGAATTCAGGATGGAAAAACTTTGTCTCTCATACTTCAGACATATCATCAGGAGGAATCAGTCTCTAAAGAGGGGCATTTTGTTGTATAATGTGGAAGGTCAGTGAAAGAGGAAGACCCCCAATGAGATGAAAAAGAGGAAGACCCCCAATGAGATGTGGAAGGTCAGTGAAAAAGAGGAAGACCCCCAATGAGTGGCAGCAGCAATGGGCTCAAGCATAGCAACAGTTGTGAGGATGGTGCAGGACTGGGCAGTGTTGTGTTCTATTGTGAATAGAGTTGCTAAGAGTCGG